CCTGCAGTCAACCTACTTCACATATGGGGAGCAATATTATAGGCAGAAACATGGGTGTGCTATGGGGTCTCCAGTTTCTCCTATTGTTGCCAACCTGTACATGGAGGAGGTAGAAAAGAGAGCCTTGACGTCCTTTTCAGGGACACCACCAAGTCATTGGTTCAGGTATGTTGATGACACCTGGGTTAAAATTAAATCTCAGGAAGTCCAACATTTTACTGACCACATCAACTCTGTGGATAAATACATCAAGTTCACACGAGAAGATGTAAAAAATGGCAGGTTGGCTTTCTTGGACTGTGAGGTCTCAGTCTCTGATAGAGGACATTTGCAAACTGAGGTGTACCACAAACCCACCCACACAGACCAGTATTTGCAGTTTGACTCCCATCACCCTTTGGAGCACAAGTTAGGAGTCATCAGGACTCTGTACCACAGAGCAGACAGCGTCCCCACTAGCTCAGGAGCCAGGCAGAAGGAGAAATCCCACACAAGACAGGCTCTAGAGCAATGTGGATATCCTAACTGGGCCTTCCTGAAAGCAGAAACCCAAACAGGACTCCAGTCAGCCAACAGGTGAAAAGGAGGAACCCAGACCCAGACCAGTGGTCATTCCAGATGTTGAGGGAGTATCAGAGAAACTGAGACGTTTATTTTCTAAACATAACGTCCCAGTGGCTTTTAAACCCCAAAATACGTTACGGCAAAGACTGGTTCATCCCAAAGATCCAGTCCCCCGGCACAAACAGAGCAATGTTGTGTATGTTGTTCAGTGTCAGGAGGGTGATCAGTCTTACATCGGGGAAACAAAACAGCCACTGGCCAAAAGGATGGACCAGCACAGAAGATCAACATCATCAGGCCAGGACTCTGAGGTCTACACTCATCTCCAGGCCAGCGGTCACTCTTTCAGGGATGAAGATGTTCACATCCTGGATAGAGATGAATGATGGTTTGAGAGAGGAGTAAAGGAGGCCATCTTTGTGAAAAGAAACCGTCCATCATTAAACAGGGGCGGAGCCTCCAGGTTCAACTGTCCCCCTCTTACAATGCTGTGATTGCTAGTATCACTCAGCCCTCTGTGAACAGTAAACAGCCATCAGGTGCTAATGATCCATTGTTAGGCTGATGGTCCTTCTTGATCATGTGATCAGCTGGTTCTGGTTGTCAGCAGCAAACTGGTTGATCCACTCTGAGAAGGTGCTATTTAAGAGACTGAGCTGAATACAGCACCTCAGACTGAGGAAGTCTTCTGGATGAGAGACAAAACGTTTCTATAAGAAGAATCCTCCAGAGGACCGGACTCATTAAAGGGTTTCTCCATGTTCAAATCCTGTCTGAATAAATGAGATCTGAACAGGTCCAGATCAGAGCTGGAGTGAGTCCTGAGGTTCTGATGAGGATGATGAACCGGTTAATCCTCTCATCAGAGGATGAGTTAAGTTGGTTCCAGGAGGAAGAAATAGGATCCAGCAGATGGCGCCAGTGGACCTCTGATGGTTTAAGGTTCCTCTGTTACCGGTTCTGTTGGTTCTGGTTCTGTGTAGACCAGACCAGTCAGGATTAATGGTTCACTCTTTGTTGACAGGAAGGTGTTTATTCTTTAACCAAACTACTTCCTGTTTCCTGTCAGACGCCATCAGCTCTGCCAACCCGAGGGTGATCGACGACAGCCGGGCCAGGAAACTCTCCAACGAGCTCAAGCGCTGCACCTACTACGAGACCTGCGCCACCTACGGCCTGAACGTGGAGCGGGTCTTCCAGGACGGTAAGAGTCCCACAGGGAGCCAAGGTCACCCCCCCAATCAGAGCCATTCACCGCTCTTAATTATACGTCAATTAGAAAAGAAATGGAGCTGCTCGGATATTTAACTCCAACAGAACCGCAATTAAGTTTTATCATGGGGGGGGTCGGGGGGGTCGGCCCCGACGGGTTCAATAAAAGAATAAAACATTATGTGCGGGGGGGCGGGGGTGACCGCAGTCATCAGTGTCCTGGCTGACCCAGACAAAGGAAGAAGCTGCAGCTGCTGCACAAGGACTCAAGTTCTGGTCCAGTTCACTCTAACTCCTGATCCAGACCACCTGATCCAGACCACCTGATCCAGACCACCTGATCCAGTACAGATCAATTGGTCTCCAGGTCTTTTGGCACCACGACTGGGCCTGACAGGAGATCCTGTCCATGAGGACCACCAACAGGTAGGAGACGAGGGACAGCTCCACTTCGTGCTGAGGACATGGACCCAGGTTCTGCCTTGGTTTTACAGGGAACGGTTAGCCCTGAACAGCGACCCTCGCACCCCATACCCCCACAGCACCCCCACAAAGGGCCTCGAGAAACCCACAAGCCTTCCCCAGGTCCATAAAATACGTAGACTGCAGACTCTGATCCCCAGGACCCCCTCAGGTGAAGAAAGAGCTGAGTCCATCTGGTCTGTTCAACTCTCACCTGTGGTCCTGAGGTTTGGATCAGGACCAACAGAACCAGCTCCTGGGTCCAAGCAGCTGACAGGAGCTTCATTCATAGGTGGGGGGCTGCGGGTCAGAAGAACACAAACAGTGCACAAGGATCTAAGATGTAATGTAATATAACACGGTTTAAACAGCAGCCTGAACATGAGTCTGGTGAGCAGACGGGTAGGAACACAGCAGCTTAAAGTCGAGATCAGCAGCATGAGATCAGCAGCACATAGCAACAATCAAGCAGCATTACAGTAGTCCCTCGCTACTTGGTGGTTCGTTTTCCGCGGCTTCTTTATATTGTGGTTTTTCAAAATAAGACTGGACATGACACCACTGGCTGATTGATGGATGAGCCACTGGTTGTTTATTTAAAATAAATTATTTTTAATGATTTTGCACCATATGTGCAGCCCACAGGTGCAGGGGAAGCTCCGCCCTGCAGCTGATCAGCTGATCTTCTCTGCCATGCGTACATTTTAGCTTTGTGAAGATTAACCCTTTACTGTCCAGATGCACCGATTGACTTTTGTCTTCCAAGTTAAAATTCAAATAAGTCGCAGCATAAAATCGTCATAATCACAAAATATAAAAGTGTTAAAAGTTATTTTAAATTATTTTAGAACTTCTGTGTTCGGTTGTTTCAGTGTCATTGATCAAGAAGTTTCTGCTCCGTGCTGCAGAGCTGATGTGATGCGATGTCCTGCTGCACTTCTCTTCTCTACAATTTAAATTTAAATAGTGTAACATTTTAAATAAACAATCCTTGCTGCATGGATTGTTTATTTAAAATGTTACACTATTTAAATTTAAATTGTTTATTTAAGGAGGGAGATATGGAGTAACAAGAGTGTGATAGCAGCCTACTGTGTGAACCACTGTATCTCTATCGAAAAAAGTTAAATCTGGTCCTCTGGACATTCAAAAAAACCCAAAACAAAGCAAAACAACAAAAAATGTAGAAACGTTTCGTCTCTCGTCCGAGAGACTTCTTCAGTCTGAGGTGCTGTATTCAGCTCAGTCTCTTAAATAGCACCTTCTCAGAGTGGATCAACCAGTTTGCTGCTGACAACCAGAACCAGCTGATCACATGATCAAGAAGGACCATCAGCCTAACAATGGATCATTAGCACCTGATGGCTGTTTACTGTTCACAGAGGGCTGAGTGATACTATTGAGGATGCATCAGGACACTGTATCTCTACTTCACAGTTTTTCACTTATCGCTGGCGTGGTCCCAAACACCAGCGATAAACGAGGGACCACTGTACAGTTTGTTTGATTTTTCACAGTGATTCTCCTGGTTAGAGATTCATGAGTCTAACAGCCTCAGGGTAGAAGCTGTTCCTCAGTCTAGTGGTTCTACACTTAATGCTCCTCAACCTCCTTCCTGAGGGGAGCAGGGCAAAAGATGTGTGTGCTGGGTGAGTGGGGTCCTTCATGATGCAGGTGGCCCTCTTCCTGCATCTGGAGGTGTAGATGTCTGTGATGGTGGGGAGACTGACTCCAACATCTTCTGTGCAGCCTTCACCACTCTCTGCAAAGCTTTTCTTTCTGCAGCTGTGCAGCCTCCATGCCACACGTTGATGCT